GGTAATGGAGGGAGCCTGGGTCGATGGTGCCTGCCTAGTGTTTCTGTGATAGCTAAGTGGATATAGCACTGCTCCTTCTATCTTGGTATTTAACACATCTAGATGGGCATTTCATTCTAGACCAGGTTTTTGAATGATTGGTCATTTGATGACCGAAAAGGGAAGAAATAGATGGGGCAGATCAGAAGTTGAGGATGGGCAGGTATGTGACCAGACAACTTGTAGTCCGAGTTCTAAGGAGTTTCAAGCCCTTCCTACTCTTTCATAGTTCCATCCATAGTTTCTGTTCTCTCTTCTCATCACCCTGTTTATAAGTAAGTCTTATTTCTTTTTTAAGACTTTCAGTTTAACATCATTTAATATCAAAACAATCACATCTTTAAAAGTTAAACATACTATATGATCCATTCTTAGATGACTATCCAAGAGAAATGAAAACATATTTCTACATAAAGACTTGTGTGTGAGTGTTCATAGCAGCATTGCTCATGAGTGCACCCCTCCGCCTGCCACCCGTAAAAAATCTGGATGTCCCTTTTACAGTGAATGGGAAAACAGAGTAGGTTTGTTTTTTTTAAACAGTGGGCTATTGTTCAGCCATGAAAAGAAATGACATACTGATGTATGTTACAATATGAACCTTAACTATTCTGTTAAGGGCCAGGGATTTAGCTCAGTGGTGCCGCTGCCTGCCTTGCAAGCACAAGGTCCTAAGTTCAATCCCCGGTACCAAAAAAAAAAAATCCCAAAAAACCACATTCTGTTAAGCAAAAGAGTCTAGCCTCAGCTGGGCAACCTATAATTCCACCACTCCAGAGACCAAGACAGAAGATCAGTATAGGCCGGCCCGGGCTACATAGTTCAAAACTAGCTTGAACTACATAGTAAGACCCTGTCTTGAAAGAGACAAAAAACAAAACAAAAAAGAATCTAGCCTCAAGTAGCCAAAATACGATTTCAATTATATGAAGTATTCCAAAAAGGCAAATCTATAGAGACTGAGAGTCCAATAGTGGGCTGGGGTTAGAGATGAGAAATGACTTGCGAGTGGACATGAGGTTTTTTTGTGAAATGAGGGGGGTATCCTAAAATCGGATTGTGGTGGTAGTTACATGATTCTGTAAATTTGTTATAAATTACTCAACTGTACACTTATAGGTAAATTTTATGATTTGTATAATGTACTTCATAAACCTATAAAAATAGCTACATTTAAAATTTTATGTCTATAATAGTTGTATATTTACATATCTTATTCTGTTTTCATTATTGAACTCTTTTTTTTTTTTTGAAACAGGGTTTGGTTTTGTAGTGTAGGCTGGCCTTGAACTCACTCTGTACCCCAGGTTGGCCTTGAACTCGCAGTGATCCTCCTGCCTCAGCTCCTGAGTGCTTAGATTATAGGGATGCGCCACCATGCCCACCATTATTGAAATTTTTAGTATTGCTTTTTTCTTTAAGTATGATTTTCAGAGTATGCTGATGTCAGCTGATGTTAATTATAATAGAAAACAGCCAGCATTTATAAAATAGTTATTATACACCAGACATTATGCTAAGTACTTTTTACAGATTATGTCATAGTAGCACTGTGATACAAGTACTTCTACTTTCATTTTACAGCTGAGGATACAGTCTCAGAGAGGCAAATAACTTGTCAAAGTCATATGGCTAAAGTGATTAGACAGACAAGAATTGGAACAGAGAGGCATTCTTTTTTTTTTTTGGTACCAGATTTCGAACTCAGGACCTTGAGCTTGTGAGGCAGGTGCATTGCAGCTGAGCTAAATCCCCAGCCCAGAGGCATTCTTGTGGGATTTTTTTGTTTTTGTTTTTTTTTTTGTACCGGGGATTAAACTCGGGTCCTTGCAATTGTGGGGCAGGCGGCGGCCCAGATGCATTCTTAATCTCCATGTTCCATATATGAGTATGCAGTGTATCTGGTGGGAAAAAAATGTTTTTGAGACAGAGTCTCACTGTGTACTTCAGGCTGGCCTCAAACTAATGGTGATCCTCCTACTTCAGCCTCCCTAATGCTGGAATTATAGGCATGCACCACCACACCTGGCTTTTGGTGAAAAATTATATTCCCTATCATATGCTGTGCTGACTGTTATGTATACACAAATATGTATATGTTGGGATACAAAATAAACATTTAGGGCCGGGGATTTAGCTCAGTGGTTCCGCTACCTGCCTCACAAGCTCAAGGACCCGAGTTTGATCCCCGGTACCAAAAAACCCCACCATTTTAGAGGGTCTCACTGGATAATTCAGGCTGGCCTTGCACTCACTTTATGTAGCCCAGGCTCTCTTCAAACCCTGGGCTATCCTCCTGCCTTAGCATTCTGAATGCTGGGATTACAGGGATGGAACACCACACCTGGTTGTTGTTGTTGTTGTTGTTCTTCTTCTTCTTTTTGGTACCGGGGATGAACTCAGGACCTTGTGCTTTTGAGGCAGGCCAGGCACAGGCAGGTGCGGTGCCACTAAGCTAAATCCTTGGCCCACCACACCTGTTGTTTTTTGTTGGGTTTTTTTGGTACCAGGATCGAACTTGGGTCCTTGCGCTTGCGCAGCAGGCAGTGAAACCACTGAGCTAAATCCCCGGCCCCACCACACCTGTTTAAAAAAAAAAAAAAAAAAAAATGCTTTTTTTGTATATCAGTAATGAATTAGTTGAGAAAGAAATCAGGAAAATAATTCCTTTTTAAACTCTAGGAGTCAACCTAACCAAAGAAGTAAAAGATCATTATAATGAAAATTACAGAACACCAAAGAAAGAAATTGAAGAAGACACTAGAAGATGAAAAGACCTGCCTTGTTCATGGATCAGTAGAATTAATATTGTTATAATGTGGGGCCAGGGATTTAGCTCAGTGGTTCTGCCACCTGTTTTGCAAGCGCAAGGTCCCGAGTTCAATCCCCAGTACCAAAAAATAAAAAATTGTTATAATGTGCATATTCTACAGATACAGTGCGACCTCCATCAAAATTCCAATGACATTTTTCATAGAAATAGACAAAATAATCCTAAATTCATGTGGCAACACAAAAAACCCAAGAATACCCAAAGCAATTCCTAAGCAAAAAGAGCAAGGCTGGAAGTATCACATTACCTAATTTGAAATTATAGTACAAGCCTTAGAAACAAAAACAGCATGGTACTGGCACAAAAATAGACCAATGGAATAGACTAGAGGACTCAACTAACAGCCATCTAATTCTTTTTTTGGTACTGGGGATTGAACTCGGGACCGTGTGCTTGCAAGGCAGGTGGCGGAACCACTGAGCTAATTCCCCGGCCCTACAGCCATCTAATTCTTGACAAAGGAGCCAAAAACGTGTTGGTGGAAAGATGGCCTCTTAAACAAATGGTGTTAGGAAAACTGGATATCCATATGTAGAAGATTGAAACTAGACCCCTTTCTCTTGTGTTATATAAAAATCAGTTCAAAATGAACCAAAGACCTAAGTGTAAGACCTGAAACTTTAGCCTGTTGTGGAAGGATATTAGTGAATTTGAGGCCAGCCTGAACTACATAAAGATTCTGTCTCAAGAACAAAAGAAAACAAAACAACTGAAACTTTGAAACTTTTGAAGACAAAATAGGGAAATATTTAAAGCCATAGGCCCAAGGCAAAAACTTCCTGAATAGGATTCTAGTAGCATAGTAGATACAATATTAGCAAAAATCAACAAATGGGACTATATCAAATTAAAAAGCTTCTACTCAGCAAGGGAAACAACTAATAAGAAAGAAGAGACAACCTATAGAATGGGAAAAAAATCTTTGCCAGCTATTCTTCCAACAGGATTGACATCTAAAATATATAAAGAACTCAAAAAACTTAACACCAAAAAATCAAATAGTAGTCCAGTTAATAAATGGGCAAATGGGGCCAGGGTTGTGGCTCAGTGGCATGGCCCTGTCTGGTAAGCGCAAGGTCCTGAGTTCGATCCCCAGTATCAAAAAATAAAATAAAATAAAATAAATGGGCAAATGAATAGAACACTTTTCAAAAGAAGTACAAATGGCTAGTAAGTGTATACAAAATATTCAGCAGTTTTAGCTACTAGGGAAATGCCAATCAAAACTACACTGAGGGGCCAGGGATTTAGCTCAGTGCTTCCACTGCCTGCCTCGCAAGCGCAACGTCCCGGGTTCAATCCCTGGTACCAAAAAAAAGAATACAAAAAATAATAAATGAAGGCAAGAGTGCAGGGGAAAAAGGAACACTTCTGCATTGCTGGTGGGAATATAAATTAGTAGAACCTCTATGGAAATCAGTCTGGAAGTCCCTCAGAAACTAAAATTAGAGCTACCATTTGGTCAAGCCATACTACTTCTCAGTATATACTCAAAGGAATTAAAATCAGCATAATATAGGGATACCTGCATGCCCATGTTTAATGTGGCACAATTCACAGCAGCTGAGATGATAGAACCAGCCTAGGTGCCCATTAACAGATGAGTGGGTAGTGTATATACACAATGGAGTATTACTTAGCTGTAAAGAAGGATGATCTGAGAGTAGAAAGGATTTATTTTTCATTTGTTTTGTTTATTGTGACAGGGTATTTTTGTGTCATTTAGGCTGGTCTTGAACTCACTATGTAGCCCAAGCTGGCCTCAAACTCAGAGCTGTTCTCCTTCCTTGGCCTCTTGAGTGCTGAGATTACAGGTGTATGTCACCATACCTGGCACCTGGGAGCCTAAAGATTATTAGACAAGAAGAAAGGACTAAAGGGTGGTGAAGGAGGATAATAGGGAAGATAGGTATGTTCAAAATATATGCATGTATAAAAATTCCACATTGAAACCCAATATTTTAAAAAATTAATAAGTACTAATATATTTTTTTAAAGTACTTGTTAATGTTTACTTAAACAAAATATTAGTATGTGATCTCTTTAGAAGATTTCAGTGGGCATTTGGTATTGCCTGGCTGCCATAGAACTTGTACATTTTAACTTCTTTTTTTTCTCTACTCTTAAGTCTTAATTTTAAAGACCCTGAAGCAGTCAGAGCTTTGACCTGTACTCTTTTAAGGGAAGACTTTGGACTTTCTATTGATATTCCATTGGAGAGACTAATTCCCACAGTTCCTTTGAGGCTCAACTACATTCATTGGGTAGAAGATCTGATCGGTCACCAGGACGCTGACAAAACTACACTTCGAAGAGGAATTGACATAGGTAAATAGTTTTAAATTTAAATTTGGCTGAACGTAAGTGTCATAAGTTTTCCAAGGTCAAATTCTTTACTGACTTTTCTGCTGTACATTTGTTGTGTGAATGAAGCTGACCAGAAATACTGCTGTTCTTATTCTGGGCACTGGGACTTTTCCTCCATTCTTTTCTTTCGATAAGAGCTTGTCTACCCCAAACTGGAAGCAAGTGGGTAAGGAACTTGCAGAATGAAAGTGAGGCCATCACTCATTAGCTTTTTGTACTCCCGGATTGATGTCTGTGTCTATTGAGCATTGTCTTTACTCCGAAGCATTTGATGTCAGTTCAGTAGTCCTCATACTGAGATTTTTGAGGTGATGTTCATTTATTTTAAAAAATGACCTTTTAATAAAAAGATCATGTGAAAAAAAAAAAGATCATGTCGTCCTGAATACTTTCAGGAATTTACTAGATAATTTTTTGAAGAGGGTATTAAATCCAAGATTAAAGAGAGAAAAAAGTCATTGAGTTGAAGTAAGATGTTCTTTTATTGTAAACTTGTACTGTAGAGAAAACTGTCCATTTTATTCATCTGGGAGGGTAAGTAGAAGTACAGAAGGCTATGAAGCCATGACATGTTTTATAATTATAAAGAAAGGGGACACTTAGGAATTTGAATAGAGGCCCTCTTAATCTCTTATGGGTTGTTAAAGCCAATCTTTTCATTTGATAGAATTTTTAATTTTTTTCTTTTAATCTGTGGCCTTTACTAGTCTCCTATAGGAAAGATTGAATTAACAGCTCTGAGTTTCTGTTTCTAAGTATAGGACAGTTAATAATAATCACAGTTTCTAGATTATAGTAAATATTTAACTTTGACATTTGCGTGCATTTTCAGGGAACACCCCTCGAACATCTTGAGGTACCTTTTTACCAGCATTTAATTGACCCTCCTTTCTTTTTTTATGCACTATTCTCTATTTGCTTCCATGTTTTCCTTGTTCATTTTTACTCCCTTTTCTCTACTTTTCAGGTTTACTCTTCCATATCTGACCATTAGATGTTGATAATCCTTTTTTTTTTTTTTTTTGGTACTGGGGATTGAACTTGGGTCCTTGTTCTTGCAAGGCAGGCAGCGGAACCACTGAACTAAATCCCCGGCCCGATAATCCTTATTTTTTAACCCTCAGTCTTTAACCTCTGTTTCATTCAGCACCCTCCCCTAGCAGTTTCATTCATATCTGTGATTTCATTTCTCACCTCTGAGCAAATAAGCCCAATATTTATATATTCCTTCAACTCAGAATGGTTTTCTTGACCTCTGGCTCATATAGATGAGAAACTTGGTTATCTCAGAAATGCAACAGTCTAACCGGGCATGGTGATGTATGCCTGTTATCCACACACTAAGGAGGCTGAGGCAGAAGGATCACCACAAGTTCAAAACTATCCTGAGCTACGTAGAGTTCAAGGCTAGCCTGAATTACATAGGGAGACCCTGTTTACAAAAAAAGTCTCAGTCTTGCGCCATCCAGGAACAAACTCACGGTTTTTCTTCCTAATCCTGATTCTCTTCGTTTCTTGTTTCATTGAGCCTACCACATCCACCTTGTCTTCCTTGATATTTATTTATTCTGTCTGAGAATGCCCAACACTTAATTCCTATAGTTGTTTTTTTTTTTCTTTGAGATGGCCTTGAACTCCTGGGCTCAAAAGATCCTCCTGCTTCAGCTTCCCAAGTAGCTAGGAATATAGATGTGTATCACTATGCCTAGGTTTTTGTTGTTTTTTTTTCTTTACTTTCTTTTTTTAAAATTATTTTTTTGTTAGTACTTATTTGCCATACATAAAAGAGAATTTGTACTTGTACATAGTATGTCGTAATTCTTTTTTCCGTATTTCCCTCCACTCCTTTCAACCCTGTGCCTAGCTTTTTGTTAATTTTTCTCTTAAATATTTCTTGTTGTTATTGGTTTTTTGTTTTTCTTTTGTTCCTTGTTTTTGAGACAAGGGTCTCTTTGTGTTGCCCAGTCTGGCTTCAAACAGCTGGCCTTAAGCAGTTTGCCCATCTTGGCTTCTCCAAGTAGCTGAGACTACAAGTGCACCCACCATGACCAGTTTTCTTAAATATGTCTTTAATGATCTACTTCTTTCCATCCCTACTGCTGCCATCCCAGTCCAAGTAATTACCATCTCTTTCTTTGTCTACAGTTTAGCCTCACAGCTATCATCCACTGTATTCTGTAGGCTAGATTCAGAAAATATGTATAAATCCACATTTGTTCACATCTTCTTTACTTTAACGACTTCCTGTTGCTTTTGTGATAACTACCCAAAACCTTGACTTGGACAATTAGAATTTTGTTTGGTATCTGCCCTCTTCTCTAGACTTTGCTAAGCCTTGTCATAATAAGATTCTTTCCCTTGCTTTCTGCACTTGAAACTCTTATTAAAAAAGAACTAAATATGTTATTCCTTGTGCATGGAACTTCTCCCACCTTCTCTTTTCATTTTTTTTTTGTACCGGGAATTGAACTCAGGACCTTGCGCTTGTGAGGCAGGCGGCGGCACCACTGATGGAAAATCCCCAGCCCTCTTTATCTTTCTTTTTTTTTTTTCTCTTCTCTTCATTTTTTGTACTATACTTAACTCAATCCTTCTTTTCTCCGAAAAGCCTTCTCTGATCTCCTCGGCCAGTAGTGGCAAGCCTATGTATGGTACCCGTGCCACAGCTGGCTGTTTGTTATCATTGAAAGCTATAAAAGGTTCAATATCCCTGTCCTAGCCTAAGACAAGTTATAAACTTTCTGAAAACCTTACTTCTTCTATCATTGCATTTATTTTAGTTTTTAATCATATAATCATCTGATTATTTGATTGTCATTTCCTTTACAATATTGCAAAGACAAATGATTTGTGGATATTGCTGGATAAATACATATACCCCCCCCCTTTTTTAAATTGGGACAGCTTTATTTGAAAAATGGGGACAATTGAGCTCTACTGCCTACACGGTCCTAGGGCATCTGCCTCAGGCTCTGGCAGTCCTGCGGAAAGAAAGATGAGGTCGGGGTGTAAGGCTGGGGCCAGGCCACACTTGTGGCTGCCTGGGCTGTCAGGAAGGGCCTGGGGTTGGAGGGTGGTTTTTACCCTCCCACCGCAGCAGTGGGTGGTGAACTGAGGCCCCTGGATGCTCCAGGTACTAAATCTAACCTGCAGCTATGCCCAAAGCCCGGGTGGGGGTAGGGGTGTGATTTTCACCAGACTCCAGGAATACATAATTCTTTTAACATGCAAAATTCTGACTACTCCATATGAGTTAAGCATTATAAAAACAGGGTTTACCTAAAGCTCTTGCCTTCTTTCATTCATGGCAGAAAACTGACTTATGGGTTCTAGAAAGCTTAAAAGCTTGACAGCCTATTTCGTGCTAATTTGATTTAAATTATGCCCCAAACCCTCTAAAGTAGCATTTGGGGATATAGGAGGTTAATGAATTTTAGCTCTTCACAAGGGGCAATGCTTGCTGAAATCACATTCATTCTAATTAGAGTTTTATATAAATTCTTCCCCTAGACTCCATCAGTTTGTTCTAATTCTATGACTTTATACTTTCCATTTTTATTTATTATTGTAAAGATTATTACCCACTTAAAAATGTCACTTGGCTTTCTGGATGGATTAGAATGTCAGAATGTAAGTTCTTTGGTCTTGAGAATTGAGAAACTTTTGGGGAGGGGAAGGGTCTTTTATCTGAAATTATCACTTGAAGTAAATGCTTTTTTTTTTTTTTCCTTTGACATGAAGTTTGCAAAGAGAGACAGTTGTGTGAGAGTCAAGGGCCTGGGATCTGATGTGAATTTTTTTTTTTTCATATAGAGCTGAAAGTGATACTGAAATTCTTAAATTCTGAATGACTGGCTCACCAAAGTGGTTAGCTGGACTGAATAATTATGGCTGTGAGAGGAGCTTGAAAACCCTTTACCCTCCACCCCTCCTCCCTCACAAATTCCCCAGGAGGTGTTTGTCCAGTGGCATCAGGGCCAGGAAGGTTGGGCAGCCATCAGCCATTGTCCTGTTGTCTTCTAGCCTGTTAAGGATATCTCATGAGGAAGCAGTAAGATGAGCCTGGGTTTCCTCCAGCTTGTACTTCTTCCTGCCAGACCTCTAGGGACTAGGCTGGAACCAGGATGTGGTCAAGGGAAAGCAGGCTTTAGAGTGTCTGGTTTAGACTAACTCCTGTATAGGGCTTTGGGTGAAAGGCTGGCTTTTCTTTTCAAATATACCCTACAGGTTCTAATTGGCCAAGATTAGCCAGTGGTTGTAAAAGCAATATTTGTGGTTAGGATAGACCAGTCCATTGCTTGGCCTTCTGCATGCAAGCTTAGAACCAAACCTGGTTGTCAAATAATGATTTTTTGCCAGAGTGGTTACCTCTGAATATCACCCTTGAACCTGTGGGAGGCTAGCCAATGACTGATGTTTTGGATCCAAATCAAGTATCTTTCCATGTGTCCAGGTCTAAGAAAAAAATTCTCTATTTTTTATACTTTTGGTTTATTTTGAGGGGCAATTTATAAAAATGTGTGGAATTAGGTCATTTGATGCCATAAAAATTTTATACCCTATATATATATATTTTTCTGCTTTTGAAGCATGAGATATATGTTGATGTATTTTAATTTTTTCAATTTTTATTTTTATTAGTACATGTTTACAGTACATAATGATCACATTCTTTGTGGGGAGTTGGTATATGTACATAACACATTTTATTTTTTTGTACCAGGGATCGAACTTGGGACCTTGCGCTTGTGAGGCAGGTGGCAGAACCACTGAGCTAAATCCCTGGCCCTGTACATAACACATCTTCACTTGATCTTAGCCAAAAGGCCGAGAAGCAATGTACATAACACATCTTAATTCTTTTTTCGTCCTCTTTCCTCTCCTCTCCCTCCATCTCTTGGTCCTCTCCCCATTTGCAAAAGATCTGTCTCCCTATTTCCTATTATGTTGATGTTTTAAGATATTACTGTGGTATTTTAACAGATAGCATTGATTTCTTCTAAGAAACTTGAGCAGCTGTGCGTCAGCCTGAGGTGGATAGCCATGCACAGTGTCAGTCACTAGCCAGCCACCAAGCCATTCTGAAAGGCTTAGGTAGAAAGATTACAAGTTTGAAGCCAGTTTGTGAGAACTTGTCTCAAAATAATGAAAAAGGGCTGGGGATGTATCTGAATGGTAGAGCACTTACCTAGCATGCCTGAGATCCTGGACTTGATCCTGGAGCACTGCAAGAAAATAAAAGACTTTTTATAAAGTAACTTAAATTGAGTTTTGAACTCAGTTTTTAGTTAATTAGTTAATATGTAACTTGACCTCGATTTACGCATAGTTCACTTTATAGAAAACATACAAAAAGGGAGGTTGGGGATGTAGCTCAGTGGTAGGGCATTTGCCAAGCATACATAAAGCACTGAGTTTGCAAACCAGCCTGAGTACCCTTAAGCCTCCCACAAAACAAAACAAGGAAATAAACAAAAGAAGAGAACCCAGGCTGGGGATTTAGCTCAGTGGTGCTGTGCTTGCCTCACAAACGCAAAGTCCTGAGTTTGATCCCTGGTGCCAGAGGGGAAAAAAGAAGAGAACCCTAAGATTTCTATCTTCTAGGAAGTTTGGTGCTGATTATGATGAAAGACTAATACAGATGAAACAACTAGAAAATTCAGTAGCTACAATATGTACCAGCTTGTGATTTACACTGTTAAAGCTGTAAGAATTCTGAGAATAGTGTTTTTGTTATTATTCCCATCTCTCCCTATGATGTATAGCATGTGTTTTGCATTTTACTAGGTACCGGGGCATCCTGCATCTATCCCTTACTTGGAGCAACCTTAAATGGCTGGTATTTCCTTGCAACGGAAGTGGACGATATGTGTTTCAACTACGCAAAGAAAAATGTGGAACAGAATAACTTATCTGATCTCATAAAAGGTTAGTACCACAGAATAAATACCTGCCCTTCAAGCTTTATTAACCTTTTTAACGTGTCTCATTATCTTTTGCTTTAAAATGCACAGACTTTGATAATTGTTTAGAAATCTGTCACCTTGTAATGGTTTTGGTGTTTTGATACCAGAATTAACTTAGAAAGAAAATTAATACTGTTGATCCTCATTATTTATGAATTCTGTATTTGTGAATTTACCTACTTGCTGAAATTATTTAGTCAGTTTTCTTGAATACATTTTTGGGGATTGAACTTGGGACCTTGGCGCTTTTGAGGCAGGTGGCGGAAGCACTAAGCTAAATCCCCGGCCCTAGACTTATTTTCTTAATAGACTTTATTTTTTAGGTTCACAGCAAAATCGAAGTTACGGAGAATTCTGTATACTTCTCTCACAGGCACAACCTCTGCATTGTCAGCCTCCTCCACAAGAGTGGGACATTAGTTACACTTGACAGTCACTGCCAACCATAGCCAGCTTACAGTAATGTTCACTGTGAATGTTGTGCATTACAAAGTTTTAGAAAAGTGAACATGATGTATCTCTCATCTCTCTGCCTTAAAAATCCTCTGTGGATATCACAGTGATATATGTGCACCCATGTTCATAGCAGCACAGTTTGTAATAGCTAAAACTTGGAAACAGCCCAAATGCCCATCAGCTGGAGACTGGATAAAGAAAATGTGGGTTTTTTTATAAAATGGAGCACTACTCAGCCATAAAAAATGAGAAATTAGAGACATTTATAGCTAAGTGGATGCACATTGAGGCAATACTCTTAAGTGAAATAAATAGGACACACATGTGTAAATACCGAATAGTTTCTCTGGTGTGAGAAACTGAAAGTGTAAATAAGGACTAAATGTATAATAGGTCATGTGAAATAGGAAGAAAAGGGACAAAGGGGAAGGAAGTGGGAGGGCTAAGGGAAAGGATAGAAGGGAATGGGATTAATATGAGAAAATGGAAAAATAGGAACAAAATTTTTGTAAATAGGGAGGGCTGGAGGGGTTGAAGGGAGGGCTGGGCAAGGGTGAAAAACAAGAACCAAGAGAGACTATGTAAAGGTGCAAATTTCCAGTGATGACTGTGATTACATTGTATACCTAAAATGTACCAATTATTAGAATGAATAATCGATAATGTAAAATAGGAATAAAAGGTCCAAAGGGGTAGGGGTAGTGGTAGGCACAGGGGAAAGGAAAGAAGGGAAAGGAAAAAATGATGAGAAATGGAAAAAATGGAAATAAAGTCTTTGTAAATAGGGAAGGGTGGAGGGCGTGAAGGGAGGGCTAGGAATGGGGAAAAAATAAGAACCCAGATGCATTATGTAAAGGTACAATTCCCAGTGAAAAATGTAATTGTGTTGTATACCTGCAATGTACCAATAAAAGAATTTAATACAAAAAAAGAAAAAAGAAAAAAAGAAAAATCCTCTGTGGGCTGGAGATTTAGTTCAGTCACTGTGCCTGCCTCGCAAGTGCAAGGTCCTGAGTTTGGTCCTTGGTACAAAAAAAAATTCTCTGTGCTCCACCTCTTCCTCCCTCAGACCACCCTAACACAACCACTGTGTTTTCCAGAATGTTAGATAGTTGGGAGTCAGACAATTTATAGCCTTTTTTGGTTGATATCTTTCACTTAGTAATATTCATTCACATATTATCCAGGTCTTTTCAAGTTTGTTAACTTACTATTTTTAGCACATTTCTTTTTAATATTACATTCTCTGGGTGTTGCACAGGTTTGGTCTGTCTGTCTGTCTTTCTTTCTTCTTTCTTTCTTTTTCTTTCTTTGGTACTGAGGGTCAAACTTCATGCTTGGCTCCTCTTTTTAAAATTTCAATAAATTTAAAAATTTTTATTTAATTTTTGTTTTTTGGTTTGTTTTTTTCTGTTTGTTGTTTTTTGAGACAGGGTCTTGTTGCCTAGTTCAGGCTGGCCTTGAACTCAACTATGTAGCTCAGGGTGGCCTCAAACTTGCACATTCCTCCTGCTTCAGCCTCTTGACTGCAAGGATTACAGGCATGCACCACCATGCCCATCCTAGTTGTATATCAGTTTATTCATTCTACTGAGGGACAGTTTGGTATGTTCATTTTTTAAGAGATCATCAAACTGTCCTCCGAAGTGGCTGAACCAAAGGTTAGAGGTATGTCTTTGGTAGAATGCCTGTCTAGCATGCATGAGGCACTGGGTTAAATTCCCAGCAATACCAAAGAAAATTAGTTGATTGTATTTCTCTGGGTCTATTTCCGTCCTGTCTGTTCTGTTCCATTGATCTATCCTTTTGCTAATACCATACCATCGTGATTACTGTACCTTTATAGTAAGTTTTGAAGTTTGGTAGTGTCAATCCTCTGACGTTGTTCTTTGAATATGTATTATATTGACTAGCCTGAGTCTTTTGCCTCTCTATTTTGCAATGAAATCTTAGTTCATTGCCGTGTGGGCTCCTAGAGTGTCCTTATAGCATCAGTTGGCCTCTCCTAGAGCAAGTATTCATGAGAAAAAAAGGAGAAAGCCATGCTGCTTTTCATGACACCCTGTCATTTCCATCATACTCTGTTTGATAAAATTAAGTCACTAGGTGAAGCCTACACTCAAAGGGAGGAAAATTATAAACTGCACCTCTTGAAGAGGAGGAGTGTCAAAGAATTTGTGCACATATTTTAAAACTGCTACGGCATTAATAGTTAACAGTTTCTTTTTTTTTTTCCTCGTAGTGGTAAAAGTACCACAGAAGACACTCCTAATGGATGCTCTTAAAGAAGAATCTGAGATAATCTATGACTTTTGCATGTGCAACCCTCCTTTTTTTGCCAACCAGTTGGAGGCCAAGGTAAAATATATTCTGCTTTAAAATAATCAAATACTTATCTAAGTTTGCCTTATTTCCAGAGGTAAGAGCAAAGGGCAACTTTTATTTTCGAAGTTGTGTCATTTAGGATGCTTTGATTTAAAGTACCTAAAATCCCAATTTAGACTTAGTAGTTGGGTGTGGTAATGCATGCCTTTAATCCTAGCATTCTGGGAGGCTGAGGCAGGAGGATCAAAAGTTTCAGCCCAGCCAGAGGAATTTAGTGATTTGGTGAGACCCTTTCATAAAAAATAATCGGGGAGGGCCAGGGATTTAGCTCAGTGGTTCTGCCGCCTGCCTTGCAAGCACAAGGACCCGAGTTCAATCCCTGGTACCAAAAAAATAATAATAACAATAATAATTGGGGAGGGAGGAAGTGAGGATGCTCAGTGTGAAAGCCCTGGGTTCAAACCCCAGTACCAATGGAAAAAATAAAAAGACTTAGCAGTAAATATGTATCTCAAAAATCTAGCAGTCGTTTGGGCTTTAGGAACAATTTGATCATGAAATTCATAGTACCATAAAGTTTCTGTTTCCAGGTTCCTTGTTTCAGCAGTACTGAACCAAGTTATTATACTGCAGTATGTTAATATACCATGTAATTTCATCCATGTAAATTATAGGATTTAATGACTTTTAGTACATTCACTGAGGTGTACGATGATTACCACAGTCAAATGAGAACATTTTTATCATACTAAAAAGAAATCTAACAATCAATTACTCATTCTGGTTTTTTCCCCAGCACCCTGTGGCCCAAGTAATGAGCAGTCTACTTTCTGTTTCTGTGGATTTGAGCTGTTTGGACATTTCATATAAATGGAATTACACAAATGTGGTCTTTTGTGACTGACTGACTTCTTATTTATTAAGACTAATATCCATTTTCAAGGTTCATCCATGTTGTAGCATGTACCAGTACATTATTTATTATTTCTCTTTGTTGCCAAAGAGATGGCCACATCACATTTTTTTCTCTTCATCAGTTGATAATCGTCTGGGTTGTTTCCACCTTTTGGCTCTTAGAAATAGTGATATAAGTGTTCATGTACAACTATTTCTGTGGGTATAGGTTTTCAGTTATCTTAAGTATATAACCAAGAGTAGAACTGCTGGGTATTATGGTAATTCTGTTTAATTGTTTGAGAAACCAGCAGGCTCCTTTCCAGTGTGACTATACCATTTGACATGTTCAGCAGCAGCAGTCTTTGAGTGTTTCAATTCTCTGAATCCCCATCAACACTTATTATTTTCTGTCTTTATGATTACAGCTAACCTAGTGGGTGTGAAGGGGTGCCACATTGTGGTGTTTTTAGTCTTTCCCTGATGGTTGATGATGTGCTAGAGGATAAGTACATCCTTTTATGTACTTATCGGCCATTTGTATATCCTCTTTGGAATTTCTTTACCCATTCTCTAATTAGGTTAATTTTCTTTTTATTATTACGTTTTATTATTATGTTGTAAGGATTCTTTATATCCTAGGTACAAGTCCCTTATTAGGCAATTTGCAGATGTTTTCCCCCCTTCTGTTGTTTGTCTTTTCTTGAGGGTGTCCTGCTCAACTGAGAAGTTTTTAATTTTGATGAAGTCCAAATCAATTTGTCTAATTTTGTAGGAGTTTTTTTTTTCCCTTCGGTATCAGGATCGGACTCGGGACCCTGTGCTTGCAAGGCAGGTGTGCTGCCACTGAGCTAAATCCCTGGCCCTCAATTTGTTTAGTTTTTGTTATTGAGGGTTATGCTTTTGATATATCAAGAAACTATTGGTAACCCAAAGTAATGAAGATTTACTTTTATGTTATGTTCTGAGAGTTTTGCCGTCGCCC